AGGGACTCCGTGTCGGGTTCCGGCCTCAGCAGCACACACAAGGTTAGAAACGTACATCATTTTTTGAACTCGTTGCAGCGCTGGAAAACTGTTCGGTTTTGGATGAAAAAGCAATGGTTTGGTCTAGCACCTAAGCGGTGACTGAACTTCGGGCATGCCCACAGTGCTAAAGCTAAAGATGAAAAAATCAACCCCGTCCAAAACCGATAACTTTTCAGATTTCAACTTTTTTCCTCACAAGTGCATGGTAACATCAAACGTGACCTGGACGATTGGAGGCAGGACCCCTTTCCTAGGAACAACCACTTGCGACTCAAGCAAATAGATTGGACATAACCTTGGCCCTTTGGGAAGCACTTGGCGTAAGCTCCGAAAAGCCGAGCAAACTTACAACTTTCAAGTGTATTAGGCCACGCGACATAAAACGAGTACTGTGGCTTCAGGATTTTCAACAAGGGCCCTGGACCTGCCCAATTGCCCCTGGTCTAAGCGGGCCTAGGGCCTCAAAAAAAGAACGAAGCAAAATGAAGTGCTTCACAATGTTTCCCAACTGAAATGGCCAACACGGTTGAGTTCATCAGGGCAACCGCCTCTGGGCTAAAGGGGTTGAGGAGTTGAGGGGTGAGCTTACAATGCTGAGGTGGGCATTAGTCCTGGCAGCTACTCCAAAACCAACCAACGCAAGCTGGCGCCGCAACCCGCTCAAAAGGGATTGAACAAACTGGCCCAACAGCAACGCGCACGGCCACATGAGGGTATTCAATGCTTGTTTCGCCTTAGCTAGAGATGAATTGCGCTGTGTCTGTGTGGCATGCCGGTTTAGGGCGAGTTTTCCCGGGCGCGTGTAGTGGGGTCACCGGCCATATCTAGACAAATCATGCGCGCGTAGCTCTCAGACTCGAGCAACAGTGCGACAGAGGATTTGCGCGGGGTGTGATGGGGTGTGAGCCCAAAGCTGTGGGTTTCTGTGAAGCACAGGCCATTGCCAGCGATGATTTATGCGCGTGGGCCTCAGGCACTTGCCCGCAGTCTCGCAGCAGCGCATCCCACTTTGAAATGCTCCGCAATTGAAGTTTGGCTCTTTCGCTTTGCCTGCAGTCCCAAGAGTCCCTGAGAGACTGAGAGCAGAACCATGGCTGCTGCGCTGTTTTGCCAGGATGACTTTTGGAATTTCAGCGTGGGCTTGAAAGCAATGGTGTACCTCGCAGTCCTTGATTCCCATCGAAGATGCGAAGAAATCGCACGCACCAAGCAGACTTTGCTGAAGTACACCCAGGTCTTCGACAAGCTGGCCCAGAGCATTGACTGCGCCGCGTTTGACCTGCTCCTTGACTCGTGGCTTGCGGTTCTAGCCGCAGTGGTTGGGCTGACGCGCTCTGCGGAGGTGCGTGGCGCTGACATCACTGATGGCATGCTCAGCGCTCACTTTGGAAACCCTAGCTGCGAGGCTCCAAGTCAAGTGCTGAACTGGGTAGCTTTGCTGGTCCCTGCTTTAGCTTTGCTGGTCCCTGCTTTGGTTGGCTGGGCGCTTGAGGTTGACTCAGGAGCTTACTTCCAATCCCTCCAGCGCTTGGCTGATGCGTGCCGGGAGGCGGCCCAAGAGCTTGCAGATGTCTCTGATCATAGCTGCTTGCTAGAGTACATACTTGCAGTTCGAGCCATGCTCACCCAAGCTCAGGAAGATTGCATCACGCTAGGGCGTGTGTGCGCGCCAGCCTCTCCGTAGAGTGCGTGTCAAGTATATGGAAAAAGGGCATTAATTGCAATGCACCCTCGACTCGTTCCCCCCTCCCTCCCACCCAGCTCAGGCCGTGGCTGGGCTGCTGTCTTCGCCGGGGTGGTCCAGGGATCCCAGCTGCCCCACCCAACCCAGCCAGGTCACAACACCTAACTTCTATGAAGCTGTTATTTTTATTTTCCATGCAAACCTGCCGCGTGGGCTCATATGACAAACAGCAGGGGCTGAGCAATTTCAAGTCAGATATGGTGTGAGGCTCTTGTGAAAATACAAAAGTAGCAAGTAATCGCTTTGATGGCCAAAGAGTCTCACACTTCTGATTTGAACTTGCCCAGCCCAAAACAAGGACGATAATGAGCCCAACCGTCAAGTTTGCATGAAATTAAGGCTGTTGACATGAACTTAATTAGACTACCGGAATCAAAAACCAGACTACCACAATCAATGATCACCGGTTTATTCCCGGTTTGTGGGTTCCCGTTGTGTTTTGAATGGATGCCCGAAATGGATGGTGGACTATCAAGCCGCATTGTCAAGATGAGGAACCCTACAACCCTATGACCCGCAAACAGCATCTTTTGAACGATTCGTTATCCCCTTCTTTTTGTGGAGAATCGGGGTTGTCCCCCCTTCTCATCCTCCTCAAACGAACAGTAGATTAGGCTAAGATTTAGGTTCAGTTGCTCATCTAGAACTTCAGGTTTAGCGCAAAGTATATTCGTCAACACCGTTGCACGTTGCTGGTAATTGGCGGCCTAGGCAACCTGGCCCTTCGTAGTTGGGTCCTCACCCATCAAGAAGCAACTCATGGACATGCTGAATTAGTGAATGTTGACACGATTACAACAGCTCAATGCAGGTTGTAACGCCTCCGGGGCAGAGGGTCGCCATCCCCGATGCGAACCCTTGTCTCGGGATCTGTTGGCCAGTTATTGATGGGGGGCTGGGAGGGCAAATAAGCAAACAGAAGTGCTTGCAACCAACTTGCTAAGCAAGCAGAAGTGTTTGTAACCACCATTTTGCTCATGGGTTCGTCAGGCAACTCGAACTGTGGGTCTGGAGTGAACAGGCCTCTGTCGCAGAGACCGAACCCACAGGAAAATCAGTTCGCTTTCGAGTTGCCCAACTCGACTTCATTGCAGCAGGAGCTTGCGCAGGTGCCGGTGATCTCTCTCTGTCTTCCGGACGGCAGTCGCGCAGTGCAAAGCTAGTTCTGCCATCCCCATGGAGCGGCTTCCAGGCCCTGCGTTCGATGCGAGCAGAGTCCAGGGCCCCCATCATGGGCAAGCCCAGTGGTGATGCCCGATCTTCCAAGAGGCTCCGAAAGCATCTGCGTTTGGCCCCCGGGTTGAAATTGATCAAGGGTTACCTGAACATTCAGCTTGCGTGCAGGTTTCTCGTTTATTGTCGCACTGCGTCTCTAAACATGCGCAGCTTGGTTGCTGTGCCGAGGGATGGAAGCTTTGCGCCTGTCTCGCGAAGTGCTATTTCCCGCCAGGGTTCGTAGAAGCTTGAATGTTTAATGAAGTTTAAGCAAAATTAAAACCAGCGCTCGAATCTTCAGGCTGTTGCTTCAGTGGCTGTCTTCTCATCAGACGGTTTCTATAGCAAAAGGGCTCGAAAAATACGGCGCTGCAGGTGATGCAAAGCAAAGCATCAATCGCAAAACGCGCGAGCCAGCAACTTAGTACTGCCGATCACAACACCCCTAGTTATGAAGTTCTGCGCACAGCCAAACTTGTTGCACCAAAGCTTTCTGCACTTTGCGCAAGTCAAGGATACGCCCCTTGCGGTGTCTTCTAACCTAGCATTCCTCCAGCTAGCTGAATGCGAAGGCAAGCGCGGAAGCCAACGCTATACAACGCCTGCATCATTCCGGTGAAGACCAACAGGTGCCAGCCTGTGTTAAGGGCTGTGCAGATGCGCCTGTACCCAGTCCAATGGTGTAAGCGCGTGCGGCCAGCCGTCAAACGGCCCGTGCCGAAGGCCTGGCTCGGCCAAGTACCCATGCGCAGGCCAGCGGTGCTGTCTTTGCCAGCTGCAGTCGGGAGCTGCTATGGCTGGAGCACACAAGTTCTAAACTTCGCCCAAGCCAATGGCAACATTTTGTGTTTTCATGAGCCCATCGAAGGCTCGTGAGCCAACATAAACTTCGTTCCCAGCAGCCAGAGAAAGGAGCAAACCAAGAGGTATGCGAGCGCTGAGGTGAGTCCCACCTTGGCTGGCAAGCTCCACAAAGCATGGTGCTACACTTCACAATGGGCGCAGCCAAGTCGGTTGGCTTCAAGACCAACTGCTGATCAAAACCACTGCAAGGCAGTCAAATCCAAGCAGCGCCTCTGCCCTCTCAATTCCAGCCGCAGGTCAAGCGATAGTACAAACAAAGCTTATCCAGCTTGCTAGTGAGCATCACTGGCCTATATAATTGGCTCTTGGAGCCCGATTGATCTTACACTCGTTGCTTGGATATTAACAGAAAAAGTTCCCCCATTCCGCTATTGCCAGTGCAGGAGCTGGCACAGTTCTGTCTGAAGTTCTAGCAGATACGAAACAAACAACTGGTCTTTAGCACCCGGACTAGATCTCAGTGCTGCTCTGAGATTGTGCCCATATCTTGCTAAAGGTTGAGCTTAGCAAAGCAAAGTGCGCTTGGGCCCAACCCAACTTGGCTTTGTCAAGTTGCAGCTTTCAGACTGCTGCTGTGGTTGGCAGCTGGCCACAGTTCTGCTGGCCACAGTTCTGCTGGCTTGCGCATGCGCTCGCGCCTTTGGCGTCGCCACATCCCTTGCGCTATAGAAACCTTTCGACCATTTTGAGCATCACGAGTTTGCCAGCGTCAGGACAAACCCAAAGTCAGCGCACAGGAGGGGGGTGGAGTCAGTCTGGTGAAATCTGGGCTTTGCTCTTTCAAGGTCATCACGCCTTGTTGGCTTCGAGTCCAGGTATCTCGCAAAAGGTCGCTTGCAATGGGTATGTTCAGGCTTGCTGGAGTCTTGAATAGTATCATCAGGAGCACTGGGTGTTTGGACCTGAGCAAAGCTGGGCCCCGTAGTATGCTTCAGCTTCCGCCAAATAAGGCCTAAGGGCTCAATCCCCGCCCTCCCCCTCCAGCCCCCATGAAGTTACCCCCCTGGCGGGTTCCCAAAAAAGCAACCATTCAAGAACAACGGGAACCCCTAAACTGGCTGGGGGTGTCTTGGGTTCTGTCCAGTTGCCCCTCCCCTCGCCTGGTGGTTCCGTTCCCAAAGAAAGCCGAAGCCAGGCCTCGTCGGGCCGCTGCAGAAGCTCCTGGACCAGTTGGGACTTCTGCAGTTCTTTTCCGAGGCGAGTCTTCGAGTTACCGAGGGTTTTTTCCTGGACAGCTAGGTTTTGTTTTTAAGGAACGCTCCCCAAACAACTGTGATCGCCCTTTTGGGTACCTTTTTAAAGCCACAAAATTGGGGTACCGCCCAATATAAATTGTGTTTTCCTCGTGGTGTCCTTTTGAAGCCACAACAGTTGGGGTACCCCTCCCCCCCAAAAAGCAGGTTGTGGCTTCATTTTAAAGACACAAAATTGGGGTACCGCCCAATAGAAATTGTGTTTTCCTCGTGGTGTCCTTTTGAAGCCACAACAGTTGGGGTACCCCTCCCCCCCAAAAAGCAGGTTGTGGCTTCATTTTAAAGCCACAAAATTGGGGTACCGCCCAATATAAATTGTGTTTTCCTCGTGGTGTCCTTTTGAAGCCACAACAGTTGGGGTACCCCTCCCCCCCAAAAAGCAGGTTGTGGCTTCATTTTAAAGCCACAAAATTGGGGTACCGCCCAATAGAAATTGTGTTTTCCTCGTGGTGTCCTTTTGAAGCCACAACAGTTGGGGTACCCCTCCCCCCCAAAAAGCAGGTTGTGGCTTCATTTTAAAGCCACAAAATTGGGGTACCGCCCAATAGAAATTGTGTTTTCCTCGTGGTGTCCTTTTGAAGCCACAACAGTTGGGGTACCCCTCCCCCCCAAAAAGCAGGTTGTGGCTTCATTTTAAAGCCACAAAATTGGGGTACCGCCCAATAGAAATTGTGTTTTCCTCGTGGTGTCCTTTTGAAGCCACAACAGTTGGGGTACCCCTCCCCCCCAAAAAGCAGGTTGTGGCTTCATTTTAAAGCCACAAAATTGGGGTACCGCCCAATAGAAATTGTGTTTTCCTCGTGGTGTCCTTTTGAAGCCACAACAGTTGGGGTACCCCTCCCCCCCAAAAAGCAGGTTTTGGCTTCATTTTAAAGCCACAAAATTGGGGTACCGCCCAATATAAAACAGAAGTCGTTTTGCTTTTGGCTTCATTTTAAAGCCACAAAATCTGGTTCAAACCCCCCCCCCCCCCCGAAAGAGTTGTTCTCCGCTTGGTTTCCTTTTAAAGCCACAAACATGGGGTACCCCCGCCTCCCAAAACAAATGTGGTTTTCCTTTTAGTGTCCTTTTAAAACCACAAACATGGGGTACCTAAGCAACAACACTTGAATTCTCTGTGGGCTGCAAAGGTCCTGCATTTGTTTGATCATTTTTTTTTTGTTTTCTCGTTTTCGCCGGTAGTGCATTCGTTACTTGGAGCTGGCCAGGTGTATGCCAACATTGGCGACACCTATGGGCAGACAGGTCCGCAGTTTCGCGGGACGGGGATGGGTTTTGCTTACTCCCAGGCCAACATGGAAGCTCCCCAAATGACTTTCTGGATAGACTGGCCATGCAGATGTGCAATCCCAAGCTGACTGGAGTTGAGTGGCTCAGATCATCAAGTCATCTACCACTCATTTCAAGAGTTTTGGGCGAGATTCAAACATGAATCAAGGGCTAGTGACATTCTTGCCCTTGTTCCAGCTCAAACAACTGGCTTGAGAGCAAGCAGGTCAGAGGTTAGAAACAAGCTGGGCATCAAGCAGGTTCCCTGTTGCCCCGAACCCCTGCTCTGTGCAGCAAAGTGCTCATGGGAAATGGGTTCATTTGTTTGAGGGCGCCCTTTCTTGTGAAAAAGGAAAACCAAGCGCACAACCGAACCCATTTGTCCGTAAGACACGCCCAAATGAGACCCCAAGTTGTTCGGCCTGCGTAGGGAACTTCACAGTAAATCCGGAAAGCCCCTAAGCATTGGGGAAGCTTGTTGGGATCACTTGAGTGGTAAGCAACTTGTTTAGACTTTTCTTGGCCCATCCACTTGATGGAAAGGCTCCAATAGGCCAAAACCGAGTCTCTTTGGGCGCCTTAGTTCAGACACCAGCCAGACCGCTGGCTTGTGGAGAAGATCGATCTTACAGGAAAGCGCAGGTTAGGTGCCAACGACAAAAATGGAAAGTCGCCTCCCAATTTATGTCGTTGCTTAGCGCAGACTGGATATGAACCAGAATCATCCAGAATCTGAACATATCATTTGTTGCATGCCCCAGCTTTGGGTCAAGTTTCATCCATTCTGGAAAGTTTCCAAGTAGCGGCCGTGTGGAATGATTTTTACATTGGATGTTTGTGACACGAGGGTCTGCAAGGCTGCACCGGCTCCCATTGCAGTGGCTAGTCAGGATGCGCCTAGTGCTCAGCCGCGGGCAATCCGGCGGGTAATCATAGAGCCTATCAAAGCGACTGAAGCGGGCACAAGTCATTCCATGCTTCTTTTTAAGACTACCACCTTTGGTGTTTAGAGGGAAACACCCGCTTTTGGTGCCATGTCTAGTGGTCCCAAGATTGGGAGATGGTACTCGCTCCCTGAGTTCCTGGAAATTGGACTTTGTTGGACTTGGAACGTTTTAGTCGCAGAGTACATACACTATGTTGTTTTGCACAACCCACTCGATCAGCAGTCAGGGCAACTGAAATATGTAGCCCGCAGGTAGGTCTACATATATATATATATATATAAGCAAAGAAGCCTTACTATATAGGTAGTTCTACATATATGTAGCTTTTAAATACATATATATATAATAAAAAAAAAAGGTAGCTCGAAAGATCGCTTGAAGCCATGGCTTCTCCCGGTTCTGCCTCCAAGCGCCAGCGGACCTCCGAGTACTATCGCGCCTGGGACGGGGTCACCCGGTGCACCGTTGGGGTGCCCGAAGTCCGAACTCTGTTTCCACGCACATACGCCCACTCAAACAAACAAACAAACAAACAAACAAACAAACAAACAAACAAACAAACAACATATGATGAAATAAACAAATGAACATAGGGATCTAGGAGTGTTCAATAGTGCGCTTCTTTTCAGCGTCTTGAGCGAATGGCGAGTCGCCATGCGAATCATCAGTTGTTTCCTTTTCGCCGCAGCCTGCTCCCAGTCGGAAAACGTTGTGACCGGTCCCGCAGCTCCGCGCCTGGATGGACCTTGTTGGGCATATCCAAGACATGATGCCGAAGAGCTGGATGATGCAGGTTGGTCCGCCCCTTAATCCTTGGTTATTTTGTTGTGCTTCTTCTGTTCACCATTTTGCAGGTGGCGATCCTCTCCACCCACCCCTCGAGATCTCCTTGAGCTTGAAGAACGTGTAGGTTTCCTGAGCCCATTGCCGTTACTCCTTCCTTTCTCATGCTTCGACAGCGGCAGCCACACCTCTGTTGATCTCTTCCTTGAAGAAGAGGCAGTTTCCAGCTTCGTTCCACTCTCCAGTCTTTCAGCTCCCAGCCCCACTCCCACAAGCTCCAGCCCCAGCCCAGCTCAATCAGCACTCCAGCGCAGTCCCTGCAGCCAAGCAGTCCACCCCCAGTCCAGTCTAGTCCTGTTCATTCCATTCGAGGCCTCCGCCATCCAGCCCAGTTCAGAAACCAGTCCCTTCAGGCCACTCCAGTTAGCTTCATTCCGCTGTCCAGCCTTTCAGACTCGCAAAACAAAAAAAGAAGCAAAAAAACAAGCACACGCGCACATTGGTCTGCCTTCGGTCCTCCATCTGCATGGCATAGTGACATTTACCCCTGCGACTCGCGGCAACAAATCCCGGATCCGCAGTAATCTCCGTCTCGCCGAAGGTCGCCTCTCAGGCTCTTCATCAGTAAACACCGGTTCTTGAATGCTTTCATGGCGCGGCCAATGCGGCGGAAGATGAGGGTCCACCCCCATCAGGTTTTTTTCCTGGAAGCGGCCGCCTTGTTGCGGCAAGTGCAAGAAGGAGTGGAAAGAGGGCTTGCTTGCAGCCTTAACTCACTTTGCGCTGCAACATTCCAACGTGAAGATTTTGCGGGGGGAGAGTGTCAAGCCAATCTCGGCGCCACCAATCACTTCGGACAGTCCAGAGCCACGAGGAGGGAACTGATGACTCGTGATGAAGAATGCATGCCGGTGGATGTCCCCTGCGTGGAGCTGTACGGGGAAGATGCTGAAATGGAGATTTGCTTACAAACGATGAGTTATTCAGTTCCATGTTAATCTTAAGGAAGCAGGTAACCTGCTACCCGCTGGTCCTGCTATTCTAGGGTCTTGGCCCTTTCACCCTTTTTCGAGGGGCGGTTTGCAGGCTTTAGCAAATTTGACCCCCGTTGTGGGTTCTATGGCAAGTTGCAGATTGAACGTGCGTGTTTTTTTTTTCGCACGAACCAGCAACTTGTTTCTTGAGAATGTGTGTTTCGCGATTGGCAGGGATTTCTTTTTGCAGTGGGGGCCGCCAGAGATGGCAGGTTTCCTGTTTTGGAGTACTTATCACCCACCTGGACCTTCGTCCTCCTGAAAAAAAACGTAGTTTCCGCCTTTGACTGGATATTCGGGAAATCGTAGCACTTTTTGCCGCAAAAACCGGAAACTCCTAAAAGTCCTAAAAAGCACACTATTGCACTGCTCGCAGCCTTTGACAGATTAAAGGAAGCTTTGAGGGATAAACGGCTTGATGCAGCCCGCAAGCTTGTCAAAACCTGCAACGGCGGTCCAAAGTTGTACGGTGCAGAAAAAACGTACCCATTTTGACCGCAAACGCCCGCAAATTTCCGCAAATATCCCGCAAAAACCCGCAAACTCCCGCAAATCAGGAAAAGTCGTAGTTTTGAATGATCAAGGCATTTTATGGTGTTTATTGGCACGTTGGCCAGTGCTGCGAGGTGTATTTGCTTTCTATGGCCAATGCGCGACTGGACACGACGCAAATCGTATGAGTTTTTGCCCCAAATGTGCTAAACCACTGGAGTTCGGTAAATCGTAGGGGTCTCCTAAAACACCCAGAAATTTGCCGGAGTTTGAAGGTCCAGGCAGACGGCGGCTTTCCTCCATTTCGGGTCTGCGTCTTTTTTAGGGTGCCGCTTCTTGGGTGGTTTAACAGGACACCTACAGAGAACCAAACCGCATGTTTCGGGTATGTTTTGATTATAATGGTTGGCGTAGTGATATACTTACATTTTTTGTACTTAAGCTACCCTGTTTGAACACGTAATGTTGACATCGGATGAACGAACCCATCCTATGAGCATCCTATGAAGGGTGTTCCCCTCCAATTAGTAAGGAATCCCTAAACCAGGCACACTCCATTACTAAACTTGGATTTATTCACGCAGGGTAACTCCAAAAACAGAGGCTCTCACACGCACACCTTGAGAACGCTGCTTGCTTTTGACGGCTGAGGAGTCATCGACGGGGTGAAGTATGACCGTTCCTTGCTCACTGCCGTGGAGCAGTTTGCGGAGATGGGGCAGATCACTTTGATCGAGGCCATGGAGCTATGGAAGGAGGCGATGGACGGCGCCTGGCCAAGAAAGCGACCTCGCTCCTGTAACGTTGGCCCCTAGATTGATCAACCAACCAGTTGATTAATGGGGGGGTGATTTTCGACCCCTCCAAAAGTGGCCTGGTTCCCCACTAAACCCAGGGACACCCCTTCATTAACAAACTGGGGTTGATTTAATATGGGTTCACTCCCTGAGTTCATGGACTTTAAACCTTTTTAATGTTCGTTGGCTGAAATTATGTATTTTTCAGCGCCCTCCGACTACAGCAGTGGCCGGTAGATAGTTGTTGTTTTTTTCAAAAGAAAACTGTAGTTAGAAAAGCTATACTGTCTTTCTTGTTATGTGCGGGATGCCCATGGTCATGACTCGCAAGTGACAGCGTGTCAGTGAGTCAGTGACATCCTCTAGCAAGCAAGTTCTAGTGACACGCATGGACTGAGAGGTAGGGATATAAGCTTGGTTTTTAGCTTGGGAAACAACCGTAGATCGGGGATCTTCTGTCTTTTGTTTGATTTGCGGAACTACTACCAAATAGACGGTAGTCACGAAAATACAACGAATGCAGTAGTCGGAGGGTGCTGGTTGTAATTGTCCCTTCTTGGTTTTAAAGGGCATTTAGGTACGCTGGACATATTTTCTTTGTTGTTTTCCAGGGGGCTTAAGCAAATTGAAGTTTCGGATTTGGGCCATTTTAGCGGCGAACAACAAGTTTGGGGACTATCTCTTGGCCAGTCCACTCAGGAACTGAGTTTCGGCCTTTGTGTTTTGCTGGTGGTTAGCGAGCGACCGGACGAAGGGACATGGTATTCAAATTTGCCTTTGGCGCCAGGAGTTCTGGAAGGACAATGGCAGGTGGGAGAGGGGGAACTAGGCTACCACAAGCAACAAAGGACAGGAAGTGTGTGTGTGTGTGTGTGTGTGTGTTTCATCCCGACTATGGGAAACAATTTGACACATATCAATGA